GTGAGAAGCGGATTGCATCCTTCAACATCTCTGAAGCAACTGGCAGATATTCTGATAGATGACCCACAACTGGAGACTATTCAAGTTATATTTATATGCTGCCAAATTAATCTATGCTGCCAAAACTGCTCCGATGCACGTGATGCATGTTCCAAATGCTCAATCAGATTGAGATCTGGGGAATTTGGAGGCCAAGGTAACACCTTAAACTCAACTCTTTGTTCATGCTCCTCAAACAATTCCTGAACAATATTTGCAGTGTGGCAGGGTACATTATCCTGCTGTAAGAGGCCACTGCTTTCAGGGAGCACCACTGCCATTAAGACACATATGTGGTCTGCAACCATCCTTAAGTGGGTGTCAAAGTAACATCCTCATGAATGCCAGGACCCAGGGTTTCCCAGCAGAACATTGATTGGGTATGACACTAAATCCGCTGGTCTGCATTTACCCATAGTGCATTCTGCTGCCAGGTAAACAACACATATGCATCCAGGCAGGCCATCCACTTGATCTAAAAGAAAACATAATTCATCAAACCACGCAAACCTTCTTCCATTGCTGCATTGGGACAAAGGTACTTTTTGGGCACCTGTGACACTGACGTTGGTTCACCAGTTGGTGTTCCTTGCACCACTTTTTTAGGTACTAACCACTGCATACCAGAAACGCCATATAAGACTTGCCGGTTGGGAGATGATCTAACTCAGTTGTCTAGCCATCATTATTTGACCCCAGTCAAACAGTGCGTTCCAAATGGGATATATCGCCCTCCGAAGGGCACTTCGGGGTGAAAACAATCATGGCATCCATATTGAAGGGTTGTTCCAAACCGAAGTGCTCAAAACTGGCCACTTCAAAGGGCCCTTCGGAATGAAGGATTTCGAAGAGTACAATTTATGGACACTTCGGGCCCCCATGATCCTTTGCGCCGATTCTTTTCATGATGATGGCGCCTCCGTGTGGGCACAGGATGATGACGCATAAGGACACTTCAAGAAAGGGTCCCCTACACCCTTCAACCCTTCAAAGCTCTCACTCCGAAGGTAAACCCTTTGAAGGGATTAGGGCATAGGGATGAGCCCTTCCGAATGGAACGCAGGGAAAGTCACTCAGATATTTTCGCTTAACCACTTTTCCTGCTTCCACCACATGAAATTCAAGAATGGACTGTTCACTTGCTGCTTAATATATCCCACCTCTTGACAGGTGCCATTATAACGATAATCAATGTTGTTTACTTCACCTGTCAGTGGTTTTAAAGGGTTAGTTCACCCAAAAATGACACAAATTACTCGCTGATGACGTATGAGTTCAGCGTTGCGCATGCGCCGGTGAGTCTCGTGAAAACCAACGTTTGTTTACAGGAACAAAGGAAGCAAAGTTTCCATACTTTAGCAAAGAAAAACCAGTCTCCTCTTGGCTTATATCGAAATCCTCCGACATTCTTCTTTACAGTTGGAGCAAGCTAGATTAAAGTGATTATTACGTTTTGAATATGGATATTTTTCTTACAAAAACGCATCGATTCGCTACAGGTGGCCTTTGTTCACCCCCCGGAGCCGTGTGAGACACTTTTTTTATGGATGGGCGCTTTTTATTTAACTTCTTTTGGACTGATGCATGCAACACCCGCGGAGTGCCATGAAACAGCTTGAAAGATCAAAGACCATTTTTAATATAACTCCGACTGGATTCTTCTGAAAGAAGAAAGTCATATACACCTAGGATGACTTGAGGGTGAGTAATTTGTGTGCTAATTTTCATTTTTGGGCAAACTAACCCTTTAATGTTTTAAGCCCTAAACAGTAAACACGCTGCACGATTTTCGGCAGTCCCAGACGAAAGACTGGCATCGTGAAAAAGTCGTAGTCATTTCTGTGATCGTGGCTCCTAATCGGTAGTCCTGTGTCGTACAGTGAGAGAGGTTCAAAGACGGCCGTTGTCACGGTCTTACGACCAAAGATAGCCTATGATACAGCATGGTCATCGCACAGTGTATTTGCTGCTACGATCCACGTTTACTGACCAACCAATAAAAATGCGACATGAAATCAACGCGACATGTCGCTAAAACATAAAACTGCTTACCTCAAGCTCTTGTCCCTTCCTCTTTCGTCGCTTCCATTTTATTTCAGCACATATAAAAAATACAACTGCTAAGGTGTGATTTATCATGCTCTTTTTTATTACCACTAGCGCATGCTGATGACGTTTTATTCTTCTATAGAAATGTGCGTCGTAGCGTACGAGTCGATAGGTTTCATCATCGTACAGTCTACACACATGTCAAAGCCAAGTTTATTAGATCCAAGTCGCACAGTGCCATGCAGTGATCTTATAGGATTGCTAAAATTGTGCAGTGTGTTTTGGGCTTTATCTGATCTGTGTGTGTGCGCGTGTATAGATCAAAGTAATCACATAATTTCGACATCCAAGTGAAAAATTCAGTCCATTAGGCCTACAGGACGAATAAGTAGCATTTTATTAAATGTTACAAAGACAAACATTAATTATTAATTGTTCAATAAAACTAGGTAGGCGCATTTATAAAGTAAAAAAAAATTATGCAAAAACATCTGCTGGTGGAAGAGCATTTTGTTTTTGAGCTCCCCAGCTGTGATATGGCCTCCCTTCTTACTCCAGGGGATTTCATCCCGATTACTGGCATTAGACACACTCCCAAGTGTATATTACAACATTCCTGTCCACTCAAGCATTCAGCTAGCTTAGTGTATGCGTATACACTCAAACATAATTGGACTAGACTAGGTATCAAAGATATTAGTTCTGGTGAAATACGATGCAGATGTCGTTGACCACTGCATGCATGTGATTTCTCTATAGCAACACTGTCAATGTTTAAATGTAGATGTGATTTAATGTTGAATCAATGTCAAGTGTAAGTGTTTTAATTGAAATTTAATCAGCTAAATTTAGTTGCAGGTTTGTTGCAGGATGCAGTTGAAAAAAGCTAGATTAAAGTGATTATTACGTTTTGAATATGGATATTTTTCTTACAAAAACGCATCGATTCGCTACAGGTGGCCTTTGTTCACCCCCCGGAGCCGTGTGAGACACTTTTTTTATGGATGGGCGCTTTTTATTTAACTTCTTTTGGACTGATGCATGCAACACCCGCGGAGTGCCATGAAACAGCTTGAAAGATCAAAGACCATTTTTAATATAACTCCGACTGGATTCTTCTGAAAGAAGAAAGTCATATACACCTAGGATGACTTGAGGGTGAGTAATTTGTGTGCTAATTTTCATTTTTGGGCAAACTAACCCTTTAATGTTTTAAGCCCTAAACAGTAAACACGCTGCACGATTTTCGGCAGTCCCAGACGAAAGACTGGCATCGTGAAAAAGTCGTAGTCATTTCTGTGATCGTGGCTCCTAATCGGTAGTCCTGTGTCGTACAGTGAGAGAGGTTCAAAGACGGCCGTTGTCACGGTCTTACGACCAAAGATAGCCTATGATACAGCATGGTCATCGCACAGTGTATTTGCTGCTACGATCCACGTTTACTGACCAACCAATAAAAATGCGACATGAAATCAACGCGACATGTCGCTAAAACATAAAACTGCTTACCTCAAGCTCTTGTCCCTTCCTCTTTCGTCGCTTCCATTTTATTTCAGCACATATAAAAAATACAACTGCTAAGGTGTGATTTATCATGCTCTTTTTTATTACCACTAGCGCATGCTGATGACGTTTTATTCTTCTATAGAAATGTGCGTCGTAGCGTACGAGTCGATAGGTTTCATCATCGTACAGTCTACACACATGTCAAAGCCAAGTTTATTAGATCCAAGTCGCACAGTGCCATGCAGTGATCTTATAGGATTGCTAAAATTGTGCAGTGTGTTTTGGGCTTTATCTGATCTGTGTGTGTGCGCGTGTATAGATCAAAGTAATCACATAATTTCGACATCCAAGTGAAAAATTCAGTCCATTAGGCCTACAGGACGAATAAGTAGCATTTTATTAAATGTTACAAAGACAAACATTAATTATTAATTGTTCAATAAAACTAGGTAGGCGCATTTATAAAGTAAAAAAAAATTATGCAAAAACATCTGCTGGTGGAAGAGCATTTTGTTTTTGAGCTCCCCAGCTGTGATATGGCCTCCCTTCTTACTCCAGGGGATTTCATCCCGATTACTGGCATTAGACACACTCCCAAGTGTATATTACAACATTCCTGTCCACTCAAGCATTCAGCTAGCTTAGTGTATGCGTATACACTCAAACATAATTGGACTAGACTAGGTATCAAAGATATTAGTTCTGGTGAAATACGATGCAGATGTCGTTGACCACTGCATGCATGTGATTTCTCTATAGCAACACTGTCAATGTTTAAATGTAGATGTGATTTAATGTTGAATCAATGTCAAGTGTAAGTGTTTTAATTGAAATTTAATCAGCTAAATTTAGTTGCAGGTTTGTTGCAGGATGCAGTTGAAAAAAATCTAAATATTTAAATGTTATGTTATCATGTTCCAGTAAGAACATCAGCCTTTATTGAAATTAAAAGCAAAATGTAAATTAGAAGGACGTGTGTAGATACATTTGATCATGTAGTATTGTGTAAATGCATATCTCTTTGATGATTTTGTTGTTTTGTTTTTGTTCTGTCATGTTTTCTTTAGTTGTCATGTTTTGTTTTTTGCTTTCTTTTTGCTTTGCGCTATTTTGTTTTTGTTCTGTTCTGTCATGTTTTTGTTTAGTTGTCATGTCATGTTTTTTGTTTTATTTATTTTTTATTTATGTGTTTTGTTTTGCTTTTTGGCTTTGTATTGTTTTGTTTTTGTTTCTGTTCTGCCATGTCTTGTTTTGTTTTGTTTGAGTTAAATTGCCAAGTCTAAGTGTCTCATATAGAAATATATGTTTATAGAAATATTTATATTTATTAGTGAATTATAATATTTATTAATGAATTGACAGTACAAGATAATAAAGAAATGTTGTTGTTTTTTTCATCATTTCAGATGCATCTTCCACAGAGCAGCATGAGCTGTTCATGCAGAAACTACAGCAGTGCTGCGTAATGTTCGACTTTTATGACACAGTGACTGACCTAAAGAGCAAAGAGACCAAACGGGCCACTCTCAGTGAACTTGTGGATTATGTGTCCACTAACAGAGGAGTTCTGGTAGAGCCTGTCTATCCTGAAATCACCACCATGGTCAGCATTCATGTGATGTCCACCAAATCATTTATTTGTTTTTAGCAAAAATAAAAATCTCTTCCTTATTGTCAAAGTAAACTCCAAATCCTTTCTATTTACAGGTTAGCACAAATATTTTCAGAACGCTTCCACCCAGTGAAAACCCTGACTTTGACCCAGAAGAAGATGAACCCACTCTAGAAGCCTCCTGGCCACACATGCAGGTCAGCTCTCACATTTTATAGCTCTTTGTTTGCTTATTTACAATGTATTTCTTAATGTACTAATATATTTAATTAACTTTATGCACAGCACAACATGTGAATAAATTAAACAAGTCTTACAAAAAAACTGCATTTTGTTAAGGTTATAGGGAGTACATTGTGTATTGTGTATGTATTTATTTATTTAAGCAAACTATATGTTCTAATATTGTTTCTACATGTGTAAAGCATTAGAAAAATATTAAATATTGTCTTTTGTTTCTTTTTTTTCAGTTGGTGTATGAGTTTTTCCTTCGATTCCTAGAAAATCCAGACTTCCAGCCAAGTACTGCCAAACGTTATATTGACCAGAAGTTTGTGCTACAGGTATATGAACTTTGCATTAATGAATTTCAATTCTATACATTTAATATAATTTTTTTTTAATAATTCATATTATTTTTTCGGAAAATTATTCTTTGTGAATATTAGTAATTAGTATTGTTCTTTTGTTCTTACTATTTTTCTTGGGATTTGCCATTTTATTTTAAAGCAGCATAATCCTAATGCATAAAATATTAAAATATATATTTTTTAAAAATTAAAGTTTGTTTTTTGTTGTTGTTTTAATCATACATTTTAACTGTTTACTGATAGTTATCCCTAAAACACACCATTTTGGTATCCTCTGGCATAAATGAGGACTAAAAGAAAAGAAAAACAAGTTCTTATCTGACACAGTTTTGGTTCTGAAGTTAATTTGTCCTGTTTTAAGGATTTTTAGAAATATTGAATTAAGAAAATACTGATTAAAAACTTATTTTTTTTAGGAGACTACTTTAATAGCAAAAATATTTAATATCCCTTCCCCGACTTACAGCTGAAGTGGTAAATATTTCGAAATATGAAATTATACGCTTGCTAGGCCTGGTCTCTTCCTCTTTTGGATCTGCCTCAGTCAGTGTCTGTTCCTGTGTGAAGCAGTGGGTCATCAGCTGTCCGTATCGACCCCGTCATTCCCCCTGAGCGCACTGAATGCTCTGGAATGTAGAGTCAGTGCAGAAGCTGATAAAAGCGAGTTTCCATGATGCTAGCGTTTCCTGGGCTGCTCTAAATAGCGCCCTGTTGTTTACGCCACAGGAAGGAAAGAGGCAGCACTGTAGTCCAGGCTGGGATGGAGAACATAATGACAGACAGCAGACACAACACAAAAAGAGTCGTAGTAGAGATGTGGTAGAGAGTGTTGCTGCATGCCTGTTGTTTTTTGCATTATTTTTCCATTTGGAGACGCTGTTGTACAGAAATTATACATTTAAGCTTTACGATTTTGAAAAACGTAAAAAAAAAGTTGTAAAAAAACTGCATTTACAACCCCATTGTGGTGTATTTTTGAAAAGAGCATGATACTTACCAAGATGATACTCTATCTATCTATCTATCTATCTATCTATCTATCTATCTATCTATCTATCTATCTATCTATCT